GAGAGGAATAAATTGCTTATCGATGAAAGATAGCAGAAATCTTATTATGCAGATTAAGTGCTTGCTAAATAGTTTTCTAATACTTAGTGAGCTCAAAAAAAGAAAGCTATCTCTATACAAAAATGATCACTGCATCCTATGCAAAGAAAAAATTCTAGAAGATCTTGACTATCTAATAAGTTGCTCAGTATTACAAGATTCATGAGAAGAAATTGAAAAAGCAATAATAGAAGGTATTAGCATAATCCAACCTGAAGAAGCTAGTAGCTCTGATCTTATACAAAAAATCTGAATGATTATCTTTCTAAATGATAAGAAAAGCCTTTTTCAAAGAAGAAAGAAGCTAATAATTGGACTTGAAGAAAAGAAAATGGCAGAAGATATTCAATTACTAGCTCAGAAGAAAGGTACTATGAGAACCTGGATGGATAGTATCTTTTTTATAGCCTAAAGAAGCTTTGCAGAGATAATATAGAACTGGCGATGTAAAAAAGTAATTATTTAGGAAAAAGTAAAGGAATTACAACAAAGTTAAAAAGAAACAAAAAAGAGGAAAAAACACTAAAAGTGAGAATCTAAGCAGATAAAAGAAGAAAAGCTTTGCTTGCAGAAAAAAAAAGAGAAAAAAGAAGGAAGAAAAAATAGGTAATGGTGCTAGTAGAAAGAATGATTAAAAAAGAAATTAAGGAGGAAGAAATAAGTTATTAGAGTTTCCTTTAATACAGTTAGACTAATTGTCCTAGCCTTTTGGTTAATATGACAGGTCACATCTGAATACTCTAGTAGCAGCTAGGTAATGTTGAACTTAGTAAGTTAAGTAGATTAGATAATTATGTAACTTGGCTAAAACCTTAGTTAACAGCTTAATAAAGTTTATGACGTGACTGTCAAAGGAAAAAAAAAATATAAATACTTATTCATAAATACTTATCTTTAATTATTTCTTTATAATTAATTACCTAATACTTTTCAAATAGTTTGTAAGTATAAAAATAATTTATTAACATAAATTAATTTTATTAAAATCATGAATATATACTTATTTCATAAATACTTATTACTAAATATTTATTTATAATTAATTATATTATATTCTTCAAATTATTTCTCTCATTCATATTAATTTGGCCTATAATTATAAAGATGATTTATTAGTATTGATCTGTAGAAATAAAAATATTATTATAAATACTTATTTATAAATATTTATCACTAAATACTTATTTAAATTAATTACCTAATACTCTTCAGATTATTTCTTTCATTTATTAATTTAATCTGTGAGTATAATATATATATAAAAAATACTCTTAAAGTTCTATCTATACATAATATCTGATATATCTGATATAATAATATACCAAATTTCCCATTCCTGGTTTTGTGCAACTATGTTGCACAGCTACTTATTCTGAAAATCCCAAGAATTCATGGAATAATTGGTATTGTAAGGATCGTCAAATTCTCAAAATAGATAACATTATGTAAATCATTTTAGTTACCCGAATTATTGGTAAAACAGCAATAGTAGTGATAATTAGTATAGTTGGTATCGATAGCATTATTATTAGTATTATTATTATTTTACATATGTAAAGAAAGTATATATTGAGCGAAAATTCTCCTTCAATAAAAGTAACTCACAGAGTTCGAAAAATAAAACCTTCTGAGTCTTGAATAGTCTTGAAAAGAAGTGTTTGTTTGTTTCTAAACACGTTTAAATTGTTATAAATCCTTTTTTCTTGAATCGTTAGATTTTTCTGTCTTGTCCACGTGATATTTTCTCGTAAAATCCATTTTCTAGTTAGAGTAAAAGCGCCCAAATTATTCTTTCGCATATTCTTTTATAGTCCTTAAACTGATCAAACAATTAATCAGTTTCGCAATTGTTACGTAAATTCGACTCACAATAATTTTGTGTTCCTGTGACAACCAAATCGTGACCAAATCGTGATCAGATCGTAACTCCAAAAAACGTGACCAAGACAATCCCTAAACCCAACTACTACAATCAAATTAATTACCCAAGTAACCCTAACCTCGGACCAAGTTAATCCTCGCCTCTTTCAAGCCTTATCCAAGCTAGGGTTACCTCTTAGTTGGATTTGTGGATTATCCTGGTTTGTTTGTATAGATTAGTGAACCCGAAGCTCTGTGCAACCAAACTTCCGGACGAGTTCTAACCTAGAACCAATTCTCACTTTTTCACCGGATATCCGGATAATCCGGATAATTTATCCGTTACAATTTTACTTATCCGGATTACTTATCCGTTAGCCAAACCCTTATCCGGATATCCGGAAAACTTATCCTGATAACTTATCCTGATAACTTATCCGGATAACCCTATCCGGATCCAAGCACTAATGGAAAATTATCCATTACTATTTATGCCACCTTGCGTTATTGCCAGTCTGTCATTTTTGCTCCAGTAACACCAGATATGATTGTTATTTTGTTCCTATTTTATTTACAATAGACATACAAAACCGATATAAATGCATATAAAATAATTTGGAATTATAAGTTATAACGTATACGTAATTTTTTTTCAGTGCATCATTATGCCCAAGAATAATAAAGATCGACGACTTTATGCATACATCTAGTATTACAAGACTATGCATAGTTATTTCCGGAGAATCGATCTTATTGAAGAAATTTAATAAATAGATAATAAATAGATTAAGATAAAAACTAATTGATTACGCGTTCTATTCATTGAGCTATAAATGTAAATGTAGTGCAACATAAAAAACCCTTATTCACTATATTAGAAGATCCCTTCTTCGGTGAAATATGCCAAATATCATTATAAATAGGCTATAAAAACATTTCTTAATGTATTCAAATTGCGCAGATTGAAAAAAAAAACGAAATGAGCCAGTTGAGTAATGTTAATGTAATTGAAAATTATTTCATATTAAATATTCACTGTTTCTTTCTTAAATACTCACATCTAGAACAAGACCAGAATATTCCGAAGGTTCTCAAATTAACTTTAACTATCCTCTAATCCTTTTAATAGGAAAAACAGGCAAGTATTACAAAAAGTTTTTTTAACTTAACATTTATTTATAATTAAAGATATATAAAATTTTCAAGGTGCTGGAAAAAGTACTCTTGGTAACTTGCTTCTCGACCAACCACATGATGACGGACCTTTTGTTGTTTCAGATAGTATGGTGCGTGGTCATATAATATTTTATATATCTATTTACTCTGAAGCTAAAGATATACCAAATAGGATTCCTGTACGCATATATGTCGAGAGTCGGAAGTAATAATCGACGGCCAGAAATTTAATATTGTCGACATGCCGGGAATTTTTGACACAAGCGAGGAAATCTTCAAAGAAATTTCTAAAACAATTCAAAAGTGTGCACATAGTGTCAAGCTATTCTTTTTGTTTTGGTAAATAATGACTTATCAAAAATACTTATTTACAATTAATTAATTACCTAATTATTTCAAATAGAATGTGAGTATAAAGATGATTTATTAACGTTAATCAGTAGAATTATTAAATTTATTATAAATACTTATTTACAATTAATTAATTACTTAATTATTTCAAATAGAAAGTGAGTATAAAGATGATTTATTAACGTTAATCAGTGGAATTATTGAATTAAAATCATTCACATAAATACTTAATCATAAATATTTATCATAAATACTTATTTAAAATTAATTAATTACCTAATTATTTCAAATAGAGCGTGAGTATAAAGATGATTTATTAACGTTAATCAGTTGAATTATTGAATTCAAATTATTCACATAAATACTTAATCATAAATACTTATCATAAATACTTATTTACAATTAATTAATTACCTAATACACTTCAA